GTGATAGGAATGTGTTCTCCATGCTGTTCAATAAGGTGGGAGCCTGTGGAGCCCTTGAAATATGGCGAATGCCACAGGGGAACTGAATTCTTAGTCTTATTTAATGTCAATTAATATAAATTAAATTTAAATAGCCATAAGTGGCTAGTGGCTACTCTATTAGATGGCATAGATGTAAAGACCTGAGGTCTGGGGGACGACAGGAGCCTGGGGCCTTCTGAGCCAGCCTTTCGGGGGAAGATGGTGGGAGAATTCAGGGGAGGCTTCCTGGAGGAAGAGCCATCAAAGTTGAAATCTGAATGATAACTCAGAGGTGGTGGCTGCTCCACTGGGTCTGGAGGTGAGAGAGAGGAATGTGAGGGGAGGAAAATGGGGCTGGAGGAGTCAGTGGGAGGGACTGGGGGGTGAGAGGAGGGGTACCGGAGGGGGAAGGAGCTGCAGAACCCACCAGGCCCTGCACCCCTGCAGGTCCCGCAGGTCCTAACCCTAACCCTGACCTTTACCCGAGGGACATGGGGAGCTGCGGAAGGGCTTTGAGCAGGGACCCTTGCAGTTTTGGAAAGTAGAATCAGAAGATATACAGGGTGAGGGATGCCAGGGGACCCCCCTCGGAAGCTGCCACGGGGGGCGAACAGAGAGCTGGCTGTAGCTGTATGGAATGTTCTGGAAGGAGATTTCGAAGGACTGAGGATCGATGCAGTATGGCAGTGAGGCGAGAGCAGAGGCAGGGACGCTGCCCTCAGGAACCCTCAGCCTGGCATTAAGCAGTGGAGGGAGAAACCCATCCATCCCTGCCTGTTGGAGAGTTCAGATCCCTGAGCCTGAATCCCAAACCTCTGTGGGGAGGACAGAGATGGGAGTATAAAGGGAAGCCACCATGTTTTGGTTGGACACCATTTATCCACAGGGACATCCACAAGAGTCCTGGAAATAGCCCCCCGCCTCCTGCCCTGACTTCACCCTCAGCAACGGACCTGACCTTTTGGTTTCCAGAGGCCCCTGCAAACCCCTTCTCCCACCACTCAGCACCGAGGGGGGATCCCCATCTCTCAAGAATTTTAAGAACTCTTTGCCAAGGCTCCATTCCCCTGCCTGACTCGAAAGAGGGCCTGAAAATTGCTCCAATCATGACGGCTCCCTTCTCCTGGGCACCTGTTCATGTGCCAGGCACTGAGCTTAACACTTTCCAGGGATTATCTCTTGATAGCTCAAAGCAGTCCTCGTTTTTCCAGTGTGAAAACTGAAGGTTGGATGGGTGGAGTCACCTGGCCAGGCCGCACAGCTGGGCAGAGCAGAGACAGCAAGCCCTGCCCCGCTGTCCCCACCCTAGCTGTAAGCCGTCCCCAAGCTGTCACTCCTCTGCCTCCCACTGAGCTTAGCACACCCAGGCACAAGCCCAGCATCCCCCCTGCAGCCTCGGGAAAACAAGCTGCTTGGGACAACGACGTCTTGTCCTCCACCAGAAACAACCCCTAAGTCCCCAGCGTCTGACCTCCGAAGGGGATTCAGTTAGGGAATGGCCAATTCTGTCACATCTTTGGAAACAGTAAGCAGCTGGGAGTGGGCTTGGACGACCACTGCCAGCCCCGCATCCAGGGGAGAATCCCATCAAGGGTGCTGTGCCTCTGAGTAAGTCAGATGACCTTGCAAGGCAAACACATAACACTTGTCCCCAGCGGGACTGACTGCATACCTACAGCGCGCTAACAGCTGTCCCATGTGCTGTCTGTGGACTTGGAGGTCAGGCAGCCTCTTCCAAAGCTGGCTTCTCATCTGGATCCCAAAGCCCTTGGGCCTGGTGACTCTGCCTAGGAGTTTCTCTGACGGGAATGATCGCAGAGATGAGTTGATTTAGCCTCAGGGATGTTCGTCATGTTATTGATTATAGTGGTGAAGAAAATCCTCGGCAGCCGAAAGTCCCAGCTCTTGGGGACTGTGAATTGGAAAATGCTGCATCTGAAAAGGGAAATATTCTTCGCCAGTACGATGGTGATGTAGGTGACTTGACTCTGAGAAAATTCTGGGCAGGACTGTGATGGGACACAGTCTCTGGGTGATGAGTTCTTTTAACATGTGTTCTTTGTCACTTTCTGTAATTCCTAAATGTTGTACCACGAGCAAGATGTCAGGTTGTAACTAGAAACAGAAGAGCTCCTACAGACGGAAGAATGCAGAGTGGACGGCAGCTGTCATTCGGGTCTGTGCTGTAGCTTTTAGCAGGGGTGACTGGGGGATTTATTCTGAACCCCCGCCCTTGTATACACCTCATTCGCAGTGTTCCCACGAACATCAGGGGTACAGGAGTATCTCCAAAAGGCTAGAGAAAGAGAATGGGAAGAAGGTGACCCTTTATGGGATATTTCCTGAGTGCTGGGCCCTGTTCTAGGAGCTGTCACGTTTGCGTCTATGCCATGGGGTGACCATTATTTTCTCATTGAATTCTTATAACTTCTCTGCACCTCGGAGAGGGAAGCGAGAGCCCGGAGGCCACAGAGCAGGCTTTCCCCAGGCACGCACTCATTCTGCCTGTGGTTCCAGAGAACCTGAGGAGAGGCTGGCTCCCCTGGAGGAAGGATGCTGAGGAACAGTCAGGCCACCTCCACTAAGTAAGCACCTACTGTGTGCCAGGCAGGATCCAAGAAGGGGGCAGAAACAAGGGCACATCCCAGTCTTAAAGGGCACATCTGATGAGTTGCAGAATCCTGGAGCCTGTGTCTGTGCTGTGACCCTGTAACCTCCCATGCCCAGTTCCCCAGTGCCTAACATGTAGTAGGTGCTCAGTAAATATCTGTTGCTTAAATAACTTATGTGTCACATTCTGCCTGGTACAATTGATTCGTCATCCAGGGTATACAGTGGTGGCTCATGCCTATAATCCCAGCACTTTGGAAGGGTGAGGCTGGGGGTGGATCACCCGAGGTCAGGAGTTCGAGACCAGCCTGGCCAGTGTGGCAAAACCCCGTCTCCACTAAAAATGCAAACAAATTAGCCAGGCATGGTGGTGTGTGCCTGTAATCCCAGCTACTCAGGAGGCTGAGGCAAGAAAATTGCTTGAACTCGGGGGGTGGAGGTTGCAGGGAGCTGAGATTGCGCCACTGCACTCCAGCCTGGGAGACAGCGGGACTCCACCTCAAAAACAAAAACAAAAGTTTAGGGAGGGGATATCACCGTGGGTTGCAATAGCTTTGGATAAGAAAGATGGATAGGAAGATGGGAAGGCACGGACAAAGCTGCAGAGGCCAGGAGTGTGTGAGACTTGTGTGGGATACGGTGTGTAGTAAGCCAGAGAGCGGGACAGAGAGTTTATTTGGAGCAAGCGTGGGGGATGGGATCAGAAAGGAAATGTCGGGGCTTGCTTGCAAGGGGCCTTTCTGCAGGAGGACAGTCGGGAGCGCTGGAAGGTTTCTGAGCAGGAGAGGATCGGAAGCATATTCTAGGAGAATGTGCCGCCTGCCCTCCCATGGCACAGATGAGCCCCGTGTGGATTTCTGGGCCAGTTGCACACCCTAACCCCCATCTCCAAATTCCTCACCAAAAGACAGCAACTGAGGCCAGGCATGGTGGCTTACGCCGGTAATTGCAACACTTTGAGAGGCCGAGGCAGAGGGTTTCTTGAGCCCAGGAGTTTAAGACCAGCTTGGGCAACGTGGCAAGACCCCATCTCTACAAAAAAAAATTTTTTTTTAAATAGCTAGGTGTGGTAGTGTACATGTTTGCTCCCAGCTGCTTGGGAATCTCAGGCAGGAGGATCACTTGAACTCTGGAGGCCAAGGCTGTGGTGAGCTGTGATTGCACCACTGCACTCCAGCCTAGGTGACAGAGTGAAGACCCTGTCTCAAAACAAAACAAAAAGTCGGTGACTGAGCGCATCATTCAAAGCTCAGGCAGCCAAGGCCATCTGAATCATCAGTGTGCCGACGGCCAGTCCTGGATTGGACATCGCTTTTGTCATGAGCGCTCCAGCTTCTCCCCATTCAACAAAGCACAAGCCTAATGGCAGCCATCAGTGGCCACATCACAGGGAATGGCCTTTTACTTTGCCAAGCAGACAAATGAAGGAAGATAGCGGTTCGGGCGTTTAATGGGGATTGATGGCCTGTCCTCTGTGTGCCAGGCACTTGGCTTGGCCCCATGGTCAGTTCTGTGCTAATCAGCGCCCTTGCTCTCTGCCTGCTCACTCTGAGGACTCAGGCCAAGGGCCGAGACCTGCCCTGCCTTCCCCCTCCAAGGACCCAGGCCGAGGGCCGAGACCTGCCCTGCCTTTCCCCTCCAAGGACCCGGGCCGAGGGCCGAGACCCAAAACAGACCAGGCAGCAACAGCCCGAAGGACTGATGTGGCCTGAAGTGCAGTGGTTTGGACCTGGGGGTTGAATTCCACTTCACCGGCTGTTGACTGGCGATTTGATTTGGGGCATGTAATTTCATGCTTCTAAAGATGGGGATCGTACTAAGATCCACCCCATGGGATTGTTGAGGGACTGGAGTTCAGCCAGGTGATCTCATGTCCAGAGCTCAGCCCAATGCCTGTCCCAAGTTCGGTGCCGCACGGATGCTGTGTCTGGTGATGCGGGTGGGAAACACCGTGGTGGTAAGAGCCTGGCCAGGCGGGGGCATGGAGGTGCCCTAGCCAGATCCATGAGTTGGGTAACACTGAAGGTGGAGAGAAGTGTGGCCAGCCTGTAATGTGTGGAGGAGACAGGGCCATTGAGGAGGGGCCAGGAGATGCCCTGCAGGGCTCTCCATGCCAGATGGGGTGACCACTTCATCCCAGTGTGCTCACTTTTAGCCCTGAAAGTCCCACATCCTGTGATATCTTGGACAAACCAGGACGATTCATCACCTTAGTGCCCAGCCAAGATGTCTGGCCCCACTTAGGAGGGCAGCGGGGAGCTGGGATGGGTTTGAGCTGGGGGCCATGCCTCGTGATCTGTGTGTCAGCCGGGACGGGGGTTCTGGGCACTTTTCCTGGTAGAAATCTCACCTCTGGCTTGTCTTTGCAGGACCAGCTGAAGCAGTGTTTCTCCCGGAGGCCCGCTGAAGCCAAGGACACTGATACCCTCGTGCACGAAGCCGACAGCCAGTATGGGACGTGGACAGAGCAGCGCCAGAGCGGGGAGAGGTGTGACGCGTGCGGCGGGATGCCGGCCGCCAGGGGGCGTCTGGGCTGGAGCTGCTGCAGCCCACCCGCCACCTGATTTCTATGTTGCTAAAACCGCCGATCTGTAATTATCAGAGGATATTCTTGTTTTAAAAAAGAAATTTAGGAAGTACAAAAAAAAATAATAAAGATGATGGGCTGAGCTATTTAGGAAGTACAAAAAATAATAAGATGATGGGCGGTGGCTCACGCCTGTAATCCCAGCACTTTGGGAGGTCGAGGCAGGTGGATTGCCTGAGCTCAGGAGTTCAAGACCAGCCTGGGCAACATAGTGAAACCCCATCTCTACTAAAATAGAAAAAATTAGCTGGGCATGGTGGCATGCACCTGTAATCCCAGCTACTCGGGAGACTGAAGCAGGAGAATTGCTTGAACCTGGGAGGTGGAGGTTGCAGTGAGCCAAGATTGTGCCACTGCACTCCACCCTGGGTGACAGAACGAGACTCTGTCTCCACCAAAAAAAAAAAAGATTATGGGTCAGGCTCAGTAGCTCATGCCTGTAGTCCCGCATTTTAAGAACCCCAGTGGGAAGATCACTTGAGGCCAGGAGTTTGAGACCAGCCTGACTAACATGGCGAAACTCTGTCTCTACTAAAGATACAAAAAAAAATTAGCCGGGTGTGGTGGTAAGTACCTATGATCCCAGCTGCTTGAGAGGTTGAGGTACGAGAATCGCTTGAACCTGGGAGGCAGAGGCTGCAGTGAGCCGAGATCGTGCCAAGGCACTCACTCCAGGCTGTGTGACAGAGAGAGACCCTGCCTCAAAAAAAAAAAAAAAAGAAAAAGATAATGATACATGAAATATCCAAGATAGGCAAACCTCATAGAGACATAAAACAGATCAGGTGCTGGGGGTAGGGGAGTTGGGGAGTGACGGGTCCATAGGCACCTGAAGGGTTTGTTCTGGGGTGATGGAAGTGTCTAAGATGACAGTGGTGATGACCAGTGGCAAATTGTATTTTACCATGGTGATAAAAATTACGATAAAGTCACCGATATTGAAGTTGGGTGGAGGCTGATGGAACTGAAAATAGATAAGAAAAAGTAAAAAGAAAGCAAAGGTTTTTGCAGTACCTGGGAAAGCCGTTTTTCCCACTGACCCATGAAATGTGTGTTTAGTTGCAAGCATACTTAAATTTCTCTAGAATGCTCCTGCAAGAGCACTGGACTGAGAGTCTGGAAACCCAGGTCTTGTTTTTGCACGTGTCACTGTGTGACCCTAGGAGCCCCTTCTATCTCTTGGGGTCTCCCTTCCCCAGCTCTGACCTTGGGACCTGTAGGACCTGGAGCTTGGACTTGGGCGCACCCCGTGGGTGGGCGCCCCCTGCTGTCCCGCAGAGGCACTGCAGCTTCTCCTCCTTGGGCCACCCCAGGAGCATGACGCTTCCAGCTTTGAACAGTGGTGCCGTCTGCTGTCTCTAGGTGATATTACCCTCATCCCGTGTGGATTTGCCTCAGTCCACCCTACAACCCTAACATCCTTTATATGACTAGTAATAAAATCATCCCAGAGCTGACAGAAAGTATAGTCAAACGCCAGCACACCTATAGACAGTTCTGCTCAAGGGAGCAGCCTGGTGGTCTTCCACAGTAGGTCCACCTGTCAGGTGTGCCCACCTGCCCTTTCTCAAAGTAAGGGTTTCCCATGACCTGGAAGCTTTGCTAGGCTCTTGGCTTAGGTGTCTTTTTAAATATGTGGGCGGAGCAGGGCAGCAGGTTGTTAATGACCTAAATTATTTGTAAATTTTCTGTCTCGTGTGGTTCCAATCACCCAAGTGATACCTGACTATATTATCATAGGAAGAGAGTTCAGAAGTGGGAGAGAGCCAGGGACTTGGACACTGGAGTGGAACTGCCTGGGCTTAATCCCAGTTCTGCTGCTTGGGGCAAGCTAATTTATGTCTCTGTGCCTCAGTTTCCTCACCTTTAACAAGGTGAATATTTAAGCTCATGAGGCCAATTATATTAGTCTGTTTTCACACTGCTATAAAGAACTACCTGTGACTAGGTAATTTTTAAAGGAAAAAAGATTTAATTGACTCACAGATCCACAAGGATGGAGAAGCCTCAGGAAACTTACAATTGTGGCAGAAGGTGAAGGGGAAACCAGGAACGTCTTACATGGCAGCAGGAGAGAGAGAAGGGGAAAGTGCCACACGCTTTTAAACCGTCAGATCTCATGAGAACTGAGTATCACAAGAACAGCAAGGAGGACATCCACCCCCGTGATCCAATCACCTCCCCCCACCAGGCCCCTCCTCCAGTTTGACATGAGATTTAGATGGGCACACAAGTCCAAACCATGTCACCAATCCTAACGCATACGATTGTGGCAGTTACAGGATAATCCTCATAGGACTGTGGGAGAGGATTAAATGACACGTTTTTTAGCGCAATGTCTGGCACATAGGAAGTGCTCAGTATGTTTTTATTGAATGAATGAACGAGAGAATGAAGTAATGCAGATCCCACCACCTTCTCTCTTGGTTAACTGTTGATAATGTGATCTACATCAGCACTGCCCAACAGAAATACAACATGATGATTTGATTCTTTTTTTTTTTTTTTTTTTTTTTTTGAGACGGAGTTTTACTCTTGTTACCCAGGCTGGAGTGCAATGGCGTGATCTCGGCTCACCACAACCTCCGCCTCCTGGGTTCAGGCAATTCTCCTGCCTCAGCATACCGAGTAGCTGGGATTACAGGCACGCGCCACCATGCCCAGCTCATTTTATGTATTTTTAGTAGAGACGGAATTTCACCATGTTGACCAGGATGGTCTCCATCCCTTGACCTGGTGATCCACCCGCCTCGGCCTCCCAAAGTGCTGGGATTACAGGCGTGAGCCACCGCGCCTGGCGATGATTTGATTCTTATGTAATATATCCATGTATCGAAACACACTCTATACCCCAGAATCATGTATAATTACTATGTAGCAATTATAAATAAAAAAGAATTACAGTGTGAGCTGCAAAGCAAGACATATATGTAATTTAAAATGTCCTGCTAGCTACACCAAAAGAATTTTTAAAAAGTGAAATTATCTTCAAGAATATATTTTATCAAAACCAACGGATCCAAAATACTATCATTTCCACATGTAATTAACATGAGAAGTTATTAACAAGACAGTTTACATTCTTTCTTTCCATTCAAAGTATTGGAAATACAGTGTATAAGATACTCATGGCATATCTCAGCTCTGTCACTTGTCCCATTGCAAGGACCTGACAGCCAGCTGCGATAAACAGCTCCCCATCCAGGACAGCGCAGGGTTAGAGGGTCTGGAGTGGCCCAGGACTGACTCCTCCCATTCTGTACCTAGGAAGCACCTTAAGCAGCACCTCACTGGCATATCTTGTGCTGCTTCCAAAGAGGGTCTTCTGCTGGGATGCTGTGTCTATTGTTACCGGGTCAAGCACACTCCAAGCTATGCCGTCTGTGGCATCCTTCGCTTGAAAGCCTGTTCTCTGAAACGTTCTCCACAACCATGTCTCCCTTCATTCCCTTTTTTGCAGCTTGGCCACTGAGTCCCCAGATAGCAGTGCCACATCAACCAGGAAACAGCCCCCCAGCAGCCGCTTGTCCTCCCTGTCCTCCCAAACGGAGCCCACCTCGGCCGGGGACCAGTATGACTGCTCCAGGGAGCAGCGGAGCACCAGCGTGGACCGCTCCAGCACCGACCTGGAATCCACCGACGGGATGGAGGGGCTGCCCCCACCGGATGCCTGCCCTTCAAAGAGAGTGGATGACTTCTCTTTCATTGATGTAAGTCGGTAGCCAGGAGCATGTGGCTGTGTTGGAAGTAGTCATTTCTTAAACGGAAATGCAGGGCCGGGCGTGGTGGCTCAAGCCTGTAATCCCAGCACTGTGGGAGGCTGAGGCGGGTGGATCACGAGGTCAAGAGATTGAGACCATCCTGGTCAACATGGTGAAACCCCGTCTCTACTAAAACTACAAAAAATTAGCTGGGCATGGTGGTACATGCCTGTAATCCCAACGACTCAGGAGGCTGAGGCAGGAGAATTGCCTGAACCCGGGAGGCGGAGGTTGCGGTGAGCCGAGATCGCGCCATTGCACTCCAGCCTGGGTAACAAGAGCGAAACTCCGTCTCAAAAAAAAAAAAAAAAAAAAAACGGAAATGCCAGCCTCTCTCTGTGAATTGCTACTTCAGGTGTAGGATCTGTATGCCAGGGACCCTTGCAGCGGGTACAGAGGGCACTGTCTTTGAAAGGGAATCACTTGTGCATATATCTTGGACCTGCCATACCCCTGCTATGTGTCTTGGGGCAAATGTCTTCACCTCTCTGAAGACCCCTTATCCGCTTGTCACCAGCACCGTCAGCTCCACAGCCTCAAATACGATTGTGTGTGTTCAAGTTAAAACTGATCTAAGCCCTCGCCTGCCAGCTAAGCAGGGAGTCTGACCACTTACCCCTGGGAGGTCGTCCTGAGGTTTCTAGCTCCAAGCATGAAGAGGCTGGAGTATACTCAGAATGGCTCTGCTGAACGTTCCCACTGAGGTCTTGCTTGGTAGAACAGTGTCCCTGGTACCAGGGGATCCGGCTGTCTCTATCGTGACTATTCCAGGACAGAATGCCCCCTCAGGCCTGGGTACCTCTCGTGAGGGTCCCAGGGGACAGCCCCTAGAACTCAGCTCTTTCAGGTCCCAAGCACAGCCAGGATGTCAGCTGTCCCCGCGTAGCAGGTCAGACAGCCTCCTGCTCTAGCACTTTCCACACCAGAACGTACCCTCTTTTCTCCTGGGGTCCCACCTCCAGGGGTCAGGCAGGTCTTCCTTTTCAACCCTTGAAACCCAGGGGTGGTGTCGTTATTCTCCTCCCCTGACAGCAGGGCTACCTGCCCACTCTCTAGGGGATGGAACGTCCATGAAACCTGAAAGGGACCCTCTCTCCTGGCCGTAAAGCCTCCTAGCTACACACTTGGGCATGGCTACCCACATCTCCCCAGAGGAAGAACACCACTGCTTTAGAAAAACAGCTTGCTCTAGGGCTTCAAAGGGGATTCACCTTCAGTGTATGGCCAGGGTCTCTTGCCGGCACCTCTAGATCAGCGCAGAGACAGAGAGAGACACAAGGTCAGCCTTGATTGGAGAACATCATTATATAAATATGGCTATGGCTGTGCCCACCCCTCTGGGTGTCATCAGGACTTAGCTGAGTGTTGTATTCAGTTATTCACTCAACAGACATTTATCGAGACCTTGCTATGTGCCTTTCATGCCAGCACCCTGTCACAACATCATGAACTTTCCTTCTAGAACATACTAAGTGGTCCCTTCTCGATGTCTGTTGTACACAACAGTCCCTGGGTGTTGACCACTGGCCCAGGCACCTGCTAATGACCCCAGAGGCAAAACTGTCTGCCCATTTTGCAAATTGGCAAATTGAAGTGGCCATGGAGTGACTCTAAATGCTGGTGTCCCTAAGCATAGGCCTAACAAGGTTTGAAATTATACTGAGGTTTATGTGTGATGCCCACCACAATCCGGGTCTCCTGTGCGGATGCTGAGGTTTGTGTATGGTGCAGATTTAGGTCTCCCGTGGGGACATTTGGAGCAGAATAGGGAGGCAGAGGTGGGGCACTAAGGAATCCAGTCTCCGTAGCAGGCTGAGGATGCAAGGCGGCACCGTCTCCGCCTCCGAGCCAGCCCCCCTGTCAGAGTGACTCTGTCCTGCTCTCTCAGAGTCTGCACACCTGGCTCTGTTGAGTAGTCAGAGAAGCACCTGCCTCTAGGTGCAGCAGGCACTCTCCGATTTTCGTCCCTCCCTGTCTTTTCACTGGTACCATGCAGGTCCCCTCACAAGACGCCAGTGTGGCTGGTTTGGGAAGTAGATGTGCAGATATCAGCTCCCTCCACCGTCCCTAGTGGGGCGTTTGCCACTTACCATCTTTGGGAAATGATCCATTGAAACTAGCCTGTTATCACTGACTTAAAAGGCCTTGGGTGATGGAATTTCTCCAAAGTGGACCTAAGCGGAATAAACCAACATTTCATGTAAGAACGCGAGCTTGCCAGAAAGAGCTCTTGGCTGTGAGCCCTGGTCAGGCGCTGTCTGAAACAAGGGCTTTCCACACCTGAGCTCAGGGAGTTCTCTCGGCCACTGTAGGAAGGAGATGCTCTGATTACCTCCTTTTTATAAACAGGGACACCTAAACTCAGAGCAGTGAAGCTCATTGCCCAAGGTTGTAGGAGTTCAGTCAAGGGAGTGGGAAATTGTAGGAAAAGGGCACAGACCTTGGAAGGCTGGGAGGTTCTTGTGAAAACCTCGGAATAGGATTTGGCTGAAGGCAGCCAGATTCTCTTATCTAGTGCTTGAAAGCCCAGACCCCTAGCCTACTCCTTCACTTAATATCTGTATCTAAGTGCATTTGTTCATAAATCACTAAGTCGAAGTCTGTAAGTCAGACCCGACACAAGGTCACACAGCCAGGATTCAAACCCAGAAGGGTTTGAACCAGAGCTCTGAGCACTTCACCGCTGTCTCCCAGGAGACTTCTGAGCTAGGCACTTCCCATCTCCTTACGGGGGCCCACCCATATGGTCTGCCCTCCCCACCCTTTCACTGGGGACAGTAGTGACTTGGTAGCCCTCACCGACCCCCCCCCCACCTGTCACAGCTCAGAGTGTGAGTCTTCAGGGAGGCCTGTAAATGGATGTCTGATGTTTAGTAAGCTGTCCCCTCCCTTCCCACCTGCACCCTAGGTTATGTGAGTAAAAGGGGAATTGCATGGAGAACCTCTCCGCCCAGGGACTCTGTGTGAATATGGTTGACAGAAGGATTTAGTTAGATGTTGAATCCAGCATTCATTCAACAAACAAACATTTATTGAGCTCCTGCTGTATACTGATCATTGGTGTAAGTTACACGCTTGTGTGGTGGATGTCCCTGGGAGGGAAAAGGCGTTAGTATTATGTGTCTACTGCGTGCCTGGCAGCCAGGCGAGCACTGTACTAGGGCACTCAAGGTCCGTTGTTCCACCTGGCTCTTGTCATCAGCCTATGGGGTATGTCTTATGGGGAAATTTAGGCTTTGTGTGTTAGGTTTCTATTAAAATGTGGAAGCACTGGCCTAGATACCATCTAAGTAGCCTCTCATCTATCAGTGAAGCTGTGTACACCACCCCTGCCAGGGTGGTACCCTCCATTGATGGTTCCCTTGCCTCTCATCTATCAGTGAAGCTGTGTACACCACCCCTGCCAGGGCGGTGCCCTCCATTGATGGTTCCCTTGCTTTTTTTCCTTTTCCTCCCTGTTGCCCCGAAAGCAAACCTCAGTCCTTGACTCAAGTGCCCTCAAGACCCGGGTGCAGCTCAGCAAGAGAAGCCGCCGCCGGGCCCCCATCTCCCACTCCCTCCGGCGCAGCCGATTCAGTGAGTCTGAGAGCCGATCGCCTTTGGAGGATGAGACTGACAACATGTGGATGTTCAAAGACTCAACAGGTACGCTCATGCCTTCCCGCCTCCTCAGATAGCTCACTGAACAGCAGGAAGGATTTAGACTAAGCCCTAGGAAAAAATTCTTGACTTGGAAGGCTGTATATCATTAGAACACAATTACACAGGAAACTGATTCCTTGTTATGCAGAACTTATCAGAAACTAGGTACAAAAGTGTTTTGGAGATTAATATGTTAATTGAGGCTCTTTGAGCTACAAGAGACAGAGACACAACTTACTAACGTTTTACTATTTCTACTTTTATTTTTATTAAATTCACCCCGTACTCTCTTTAGGTTTGCTCGCTGGTCCCTGAGTTGAAAGATCAGTTCATTTATTACCCATCTTTTCTGTTTTCTAATGTATCATTTAAGGCTATACATTTTCCTCTGAGGACTGCTTTGGCTGCATACCATATAAAGCCTGAGCTGAATTTTGAAGAATGGATAATAATTAGGTAACGTTATTCTAGGCAGAAGTATCTACAAGATCAAAGGGAGAGAGGTGTGGAAAGAACGTTCCGTGTGTGGCAAGAGCATCTCTAAGCAGGTTGCTTAAGCTGTGAATTACAGGAATCATGCTGGAAAGGTAGGCAGGGGCCAGATCATGGAGATCCCTGATGCTTTGCTAAGGAGTTAGATTTCATCTGTAGATGGAGAGTCAGGAAAGACTTTTAAGAAGAAACAAAATTTCTTCTTGCAGTGGAAACTGGAGCAGCTGACCTTCCCACTTTATCCAGACACAGCCTTTAGTCCTCACAAACATCTTGTAGGTGCCCTTGTTCATTTGTGATTTGCCCATGGCAAACATTAGGATGTCAGACCAGGCTCTGATCTGAGTGAGAGGCGTAGCTTCTGAGCAGATACTTTAAACAAACACTTGGAGAGTCCTCTCTCCTGCCCCATCCCATATCTGTCTGTCATTAAAGGAAATGTTTAAGTGCCTTGGGTGAGACTTCTCTGCACACTGTTTTGGTTTTCTGAGCCGAGCTCCATTAAGCCACCTGGAGCAAATGAAGACCGTAGTAGGGGCGAAAGCACACAGATGCCCACAGCTGGAATGTGGCAGCGGCAGCCCTGGCTCCCATTAGCCTTGAGGAGCCGGCCAGCAGCTGGCTGGAAAAGGCAGGGTCTGTGTTTTCTGAGCATACCTCAGGTTCCTGGGTGGCCCAAGGGCTCCAGAGCACCGGGTCTCGCCTTGTCTATCCCACACCATCCTCCAGTTCTCAGTGTCCATGCCAGCGTCCAGATCTCAGGGAGGTAGAAGTTCCTCCCATATCACTCCTGGCAGAGTGGACCCGCAGCCCATCACCCAAAAGCTTGAGTGATCAGCCCAGCCTTAAGCACAGGGCTGGGGTTAAGTCCCAGAAAGGGGAGCCAGGGTCAAGGAAAGTGGCTTTTCCTGGTCCACCTTTGGGCCCCGTTTCCACAGGACACACAAAGCTCTCCATGTTCTCCTCTGAGAGCATAACCTCAGTGCATTGTTGGCTGAAAGCATTTCCATCTACTTTCCTGCCTCTGCCAAAGATTTCCTTCTATTTCCCTGACTTGGAATGAGCCAGGGGCCCAGGAGATGGGTCTGCCTGAGCCCGCCCCCCCCCGCCCCCACCAAGAGAAAACCTGCTCTACCTGTCATCAGTATCTTCTGGCAAGAAGCAGAGTTGTGAGAAGAGAGAGCGTGAAAGCAGGCACCTGGATTGTCCTTATCTGTAAAATGTGCCGTAGTATCTTCTGTGCAGGTCTGATGTGAGCATTGCATGAGATCCTATGTGCAAATCATCTGGCACTTAGACGTCAGCACGTGGCAGCTGCCAATCACTTCAGTGCCCTTTTCTTTGCAACAGAAGAGAAATCACCCAGGAAGGAAGACTCAGATGAGGAGGAGACGCCATCCAAGGCTGAGAGGACCCCCGTCGGCCATCCTCAGAGGATGCCCGCGTTTCCAGGCATGGATCCGGCAGTGCTGAAGGTACCAGACCTCTCACCGAGAGCCACCTTGGGCGTGCTCCTCAACCTTATCATCATAAAGAACAGACCCCTCCCTCCCTCCCTTTCTTTCCCTCCCTCCCTC